GCTGGTGCTACTTCTCTCTGACACTCACAGTCTTGGTAGCAAACTCACCTGCACCTTGAGGATTACATTCACACCCATTTTCTTCTAGTCTAGTTGAGCCACCGGCAAGGTGAACACTGTTATACTGTGGTTTTCTGTAGAATTTCTGAGATGGGAATGAGCCAGAGCTCCAGGTTCTAGCAGCTTCTCTCCAAGGTGTTGAAACTGCCACCTGTGTCTGCTCTAACGCTGTCACTGCTGCCACTTCCACAGGGCCAGCAGTCAGTGACATCAATGGCTTGGTTCTGTGCCCCTGGGTTTTCTTGAGAAGCATTTTTTCGGAGCAGGAAAGTCTCATTTCTGACATTGTTTTTAAAAAAACAAAACAAAATGGTGTTTTGATTTCTAGTGGTATTAGAAACACAGTCCAGGATGGCTGTAGCATCACCAGTATGTAACTCTGTCACATATAAATCACTTCACCCTCTGAAATGTATAGGAATACGGAATCCACATTTTCCTACTGGAAGGATTCATTTTGCTCTAAATGTGAGGGAGATTTGGGAGAATTGCAGCTGGTAGATTCTTCAACTCTTTCTCTGCCATGGAGATGCTGTTGGTTAAATGCTGGGAAAGGCAACCTTGAGTCTCTTGCCCATGATATCATAACTTGCTGTCAGTGTTCAAACAAACAAACAAACAAACAAACAAACAAAGGAACGGTAAAGAAGACAGTTCGAAACAACAGTATCACACTGCCTTCATGATGAAGCTTTGGCCCCATCTGCTCCTCTCTCCATCCCCTCCCCACAACCTCCCCTCACTCTCAGCCACTCTCTTGCTTATTTGAACCCCTAAAACTGTACAGATCTCAATTTAATTGTTGCCTACTTAATGAAACATTTCTTGATCTTTCAATTAGGATAACATTTCCCAATTACAAGCTCTCCCAAGACCCGTTACCTATCCTTGAGATCACTTATCACGGTTTCAAGGTTAATTTCATTTAAGCTTGTCTTCTGCTCAATGCTGCTTCTCTTAGGGAGAATGAGCCACAGACATAGTCTCTGTGACTCCTGTCTTCCTTCCATAGCCTAGGTGTTAGCACAGCGCAAACACGCAATAGCATGCACTGAGTGACTAAATGAATTTAAGGGTTTTTTGTCTGTTCTTTTGTTTGTTTTGTGCCTCCCCACCCTCCCAGGAAGGCATGGGATTCCCACTCTGAGATCTTTAGGGATTTCTGCCACATGCTGGTTTGTGTGTTATAATCAGCCTATCTGGATTATGGAAAACCCTGTTTCACTTTCTTCGCTAGGGATACATTGTGGTAAATCTTCTGTGATGAGACTTTTCCCACACTTTCTTGGGCTATTTGTGGAATGAAAGTGTGCCCTTCCTTTCAGTTGTGTGTATTTAATTGCTTGATTTTCCCTCAAGGATTTAGAAAATGGAAATTGTTGCTGTCCCTAGAGACCTCTTCCTTTACTTTCCACGATAGTGAATAATGCAATTTATGATTTGAAGAACAAATACTAGAAATTCTAGAAAATATTTGATGGTAGAAAGGATGAATTCTCTAAGCTAATAAAATCTCACACTTTAATTAAATGACTTTTTCTAGTGTGATTGAAGACAAATTTGTGCCGTGTATCTAGACCATGTTCAGATGGCTCTAGATAATTTACCTACCAGAGCTGATCTGTAAAAGACTGAAGGTGGTTCCACCTGGCTCTATGTAACTCTAATGCACCACAAGTTCCATTTCTACAACCTTTAGACAGGCACAAAAACTCCTTACCCTACATCCTCTCCTTTCAAGTAGTCAAGGACTTTTGAGTAGATTTATCATGAGCCATCAGCCATACCTGTCTGGCACTGTCTTTCCAAGCCATGTGGCCTACTCTAACGCATCATTGGCACTGTCACCAAGGCTGAGAAATGAACACTCTGACACCTATAGCTCCCTTAGCCTGAATAATTTGGTTGTTTTAGTTCCAGGATACTCCAACGCTTTTTCTTCGATTTTTCAACGATTTTTCTTCAGTGTTTGCCTTGGTGCCTAGCCTTTTGAATTTTATGAAAAGTCTTAGGAACATTTGGTGTTTTGAACAAATGATTTGAAATCTGGGTTAATGGAAAACCCTGTTTCACTTTCTTTGCTAGGGATACATTGTGGCAATTCTTCTGTGATGAGACTTTTATAACACTTTTTTGGGATTTTTGTGGAGCAAAAGTGTGCCCTTCATTTGGATTTAAGGATATATATTATTATATGGAGAATAATGTTAAGTTCAAAGCTGGGAGTTTGTCTCTAAGCAGGGGCCTCCCTTTAGCATGAGAGGCATCCTTTTGCCCGGTGAATCTCTTGCTCGGTCCCCTGTCAGGTACATGCTGCTGGAAATCAGCTTTGTTATGTTTTTGTCTTTTGTTCTATCTGCTAGCTGGTGACTCCTTACACAAACAAGAGCTGATGCTAATAGCAAGATTCCCAACCCTAGAAAGGGTGTAGTGATCAGTATCCATCATCTTTCCAAGTGCCTTGTCACTACATCAATTAATACAATTGAGCAAAAAATGTCACAGGCGGCATGGAAAAACCTTTTCCCAGCCTTTCAGGGGGAAGTTTACTTCCAGCTTTTTTCCCTTGCATTAGCTCCTGTCATCTACAAAACAACAGAACCCAGTGGTGTCAATTATATTTGATTGACTGAGTAAACCACACACACAAATAAGCGAAAACAATGGACACAAAAATCTATATATGACTCCCCTTGTCAGAGAGAATGCTTGTCTTCTCCATTTTCATGGTGCACGGTGTCCTGCTGCTCCTGGCTTAAATGTTTCCTTCACCCCCAAACTATCACCAATTAAGTTAGCAGGGTCTTCAAAGGTGTCAAACGACTCCCTAGGCAATCGGCTCTAACTGCTGTTCAATAAATGAGGTCTAATTTATCAGTTTAACTTCACTTCTAAAAACCAAACGCTTCACGGTGCTGGG